AGAAGCAGGCCGTGGAGGCCCATGGAATTTTGAAACGTCGAGGTTCTCATTTCTTCTAGAATATCGGCTCACAGATGGCGGTGAGGTCATCTTCACGTGTCAGTCGCCCTTCACACCCAGGAAGATTCCTGGTACTCATTTCTGTTAGAGGCTGAGTCGACCCCAGGGCCATAGTGCGGCTGGAAGGATTAGGTTAATTGAAAATATCCACCTCACCGGAAATTGAAACCTCTACCTTCCGGCCTGCAGCATAGTGTCTGAACCAACTACGCTACCCCGTGCCCCGTAGATATTAAGAAAAGTTCCAATTGTTAAAAATACTTAAAACCATAAGGGAAACTTGAAATTACGTTGTAATGTAATTTCAATGTTATAAAATGGAGCACATCACGAAAAATAGCTTCACTGTGTCTAAGCAAATTTCCACTTAAATTTTAATCCGATTTAAGACGTATATTCTTTGTTACTTTTTCAGCGACAGCTAACTGCAACTGTTAACTGTGGTTGACCATTATTCCAGACTAAATGAATAAAGAGATTAAAAAAACGAACTCTTAATACTATCAACTGAATACAAACGTCCAACGCGGTGTGCCACTAAAAGACAAATAAGTGTAATAATAAAAACTTCGTGGTCTTAGCCTGCAAGCGAACTATACCGACCGAGAGTCTGCCGCTTGTCGACGAAGTTAGTGCCAACTTCTGTGGATAGAGGGTGTCGCGTGGTCAGCGCAACGACTCCCCAAGGCCGTTAATCTAGTTTTATGGACCGGAGCAGCTATTTCCTTGAAATAACTCCTCAATTATCCTCACGAGGCTGAGTGGATCCCGTTCCAGACCTAATACTTCTCAGAAAATCTGGTAGAACCGGGACTCGAACCCAGGACCTCTGGATCTGTAGCCAGGACCTCTGACCACTACACCACAGAGGCGGTCCAAAAGAAATAAAACATAAATAAATTTAAACAAATGATCTTCAGTACTTTTACATGTATACGTCAACGGACAAACTGGAATTAAAATAAATGACAATCAATTATGTGCTATGGGTAAACATTACATCATTGTGACATGTTTCTGATTGTGTCGTATCATATCATGGTTTGAAAACAGCATCCGTACACCTGCCACTGGCAAATCAGAACCCAGAAATCTTGTCATGAACATCTGCTGGCCTGGCTTGACCTGGATACAGTCTTAAGATCACTAAAACATTTTAATGAACTGTTGTTCACTTACTGTAATATGTATCTCCAGACACAAAATGCTAAGACGTTACTGACATTTTTAAAGATATGAAATTTTCACCTGTAAAATTAATTGTTGAAAGAACTACTGTGATATTGATGTCGTGATATCTGTTCACTTTTTAGTCATGATATTTGTTTTGGAACATTACTCTGGTAGCTAAAAACATAAAATAATGTTAACGTTTATTGCTTATCGAAACATCTTGTCGTTGAATTGATACATTAATTTTTTAAGGAAAGATTCTGAAATATCGGACAAGTGACACAAGAATTTCTACAATTAGAGTATCTACCACCTCAGGTTTTCACACTGTCTGTAGTTTGTTAATATTATTGGCAGTACATCAAATGGTGCAAAGTCGAGGTGATATTTAGCAATATAATGTTAATATTAAGTTTCATAATCCAGCAGTTTATTCAGAAGATATCAGGGGCCATACACAAACATGTCAATCTGCCTTTACGTGGAACTTTCTCGAACTTTTATATTTTATAATATTAGTACTGCTATATACATGAGACAAACTCCGTCTTAAGTGCAACAATTTAATTGTAGTTCTTTCTTCTTCCCTTCCTCCACACTACATGTTTCGGCCCTAAATGGCCATCATCAGGTGTGTATTCTTACGTAGCTGCTACACTGCCCGTAGTTTAAAATTTAAAATCACCAGTCTTTACAATTGTATGTATGTATAAAATCTTTGTTAACCTATACGCGTCAATTTGATTTCTAAAATTGGCACTTTTTTAAAACTTAAAATCAAATTAAAATGTCTATAAATTTTCTGTTCTTTTTCTTTTTCCAAATTTTTAAAAATTAATATTTTCTCGGGGTACACGCCCTATGTCTATAGTGCTGCAGCGGCCACTTCTTGTTTTATTGCTGTTCAGGTATTGTCTGTAATATACAAATATTCGTATTACTATCTTATGTTACGTTATGTTATTCTTATATGTTTATACTGTTATTTGTACTTACTCTGTGTAGGCTCTCTCTGTGTGTGTCGCTGCTTATCTTTAATACGTGTGCTGTCTGGTGTATTGTGT